CCCCCTCTCCCCAGCCCGGCCACCAGTAACCTGGCCGCGGAGCCCCGCCTGTTTCCCGCCCGTGGGAGGGCTGGGCAGGGCCAGCCAGACGGCTCTCGCCCCTTCTGCCTAATACGTATCTATAGACTTCAGAAATGTGCCAGTCAAACTCATGCATGAGGATTTGGGCCTTCTTGACGCTGGGGTGGCCCAGAGTGAAAATCCACCCACTGAATGTGTATTGCGGTTAAGTGAAAGGATGGGACTTCGGGCCAACGTTTCAGCCTATTGTCTTCAAACACTTTTTTTGTTCTCTCCAACAAGCTAGATGGGGTAATTGTGATGGGTAGCCGTGACGTGACGGAGAAATGAAGCCGATGGGAAGGGGTGAATGTAGAAGTGGGCTTCCGGGGGGGGGTAGCAGCCCTCCAGCCTTGTCCGTGCAGGCGGGGCGGGAACTCCCCAGCACTCCTAGAGGGGCCAAAAGGCCTGGGGGTGGGAGTGGGGGCTGGTGGGCAAGGGAGTTAGACACTCACTTTTGACTTTATGAGTCTCTGTGCTATTTGAATTTTCACAGCAAGCTGGTATTACACTCATAGTAAAAAGACTAAAAATCAAAAAGGAAAATGAGGTGGGAAGCCCCATAAAAAGATCAGCAGGACCCCCAGGCAGGGCCACTACTCTTCTGCCAGCACCATGCGGCTCCCTGACCCAGAGGCTCTATCTCACTTTTTCCCTCTGAAATGCCTTACTTACCTCTAAAATTCTACTGGTTCCCTGAGCTCACTTCTGATTGGTTATTTCTCTCACTCTTGATTGGTCCATTTCCCTAACTTCTGATTGGTCCATTTGTAGTACTTCATTTGCATGGAGCTCACTCCTGATTGGCTGTTTCTCTCCCTCCTGATTGGTCCATTTCTACAAAGCTTGTTCCTAATTAGTCAACTTTTGTTACACCTCATTTGCATGTAACGTTGCAAAGTGTAAACTGGCAGCTTATAAAACCCAGTGCAAACGTACAGCTGGGGTCCAGAGCTTGGAAGTGTTAACTTTTCTGGGCCCGATGGTGTAGTAAACTTGAGTTCTCGAGTTCTCCTAGTGCTACTTTGTTTCTCTCCCGGATCCGGGTTGCTGTCACAACTGAACTGTAACACCTTTCTTCCGCAACAAAAGAAACCCACCACTCTAGGTAAATAACGGATAGGGGCAAAGTTTGCCCACAGGATGTATTCTGTTCATACCAGGAAAAGTCTGGAAACAACTTAATGACCTAACAATAGGGGATACTTAAGTAAATGATGGTGCATACAAAAAATTAAAATATATTGTAAAAGACCTGGGAGAAATGTTTGGGATATATTGTCACATAAAAAGGCAACTAACCCATGTGTAACCCAATCCCAATTTTCCAAATAAAAAGTTCTGTATTTCTGTGTAAAGAAAAGATGGATGTTATCTCTAAGTGGTGGGATCTGAGATAATGTTTTACAGCCTGCTTTTTGTTTACCTGAATTTCCTACAAAAAAAAATTCTGCCTAGCTACTAAGTGTATTTTTCTTATTTTTTCTGAAAAAAGGTTTTTTCCTTTTAATCATTTGGTAAGGAAGACGTATGAGATTTCCCAGCCCTTGCCCCCCACCTTCCCTAGTTCACTGGAGTCAAGAGTACAGGCTCCTTCCAGCAGGCTCCCAGGGGGCCCACCACCAGCATGACCTCCCCTCCTGGGGGCCCAGGTCAGGTCTTTGGCCAGAGCTTGGGGACAGTGGGTGCAGCCTCTTACCTGTGCCCAATCTCATGGGCAATGGTGACCCCCAGGTCGAAGCCAGTATCCTCAGTGATCAGGCAGTTCCAGGAAGAGGAGCAGGCGCCCCCCAGCTGGGTGACCCCCCGAACCTGTCGGTTACCATCAGGCAATTCCAGGTCAAACCTCAGGAAGAGAGAACAGACAGCTGGGTGGTGCTGAAGTGCCAGCCCGCTGCCGGGCCACCTTTGCAGAGCGTGGGAGCAGTGCCCAGGCAGGCTGGCACGCCATCAGGGAGCTTGGCTACCTGGTGATGTAGAGGACCAGGTCAGCATGACTGGGATCCGTGTCATCCTCGGGGTTGATGGTCCTGCTCCACTCACAGACGCTCAGCAGTGATGCGGTGATGTTGGCTGTGATATTCGGAGCATCCTGGGGAGCCAATAATAGACTGCAGGTTTAGGGGACCCGCACCAGGCAGGCTACTGCCCAGTGTTGGCATCTCAGTCAGTCCTCATAACAACCCTGTTACTGTCCCATGTTGCAGATGAGGAGACTGAGGCTCAGCAGAGCTGGAATTCCGGTCCAGGTCTGGCTGGTGGGCAGCCCTGCTGTCACCCCTGCTGTTCTATGGGCATCCGCGGGCAGAGGTTAAAGAGGGCAGAAACAGGTTTTCCAGTGAGCATCCAGCCCAGTGCCTACCTCCGGCTGCGTCAGTATGACCATCTTCACCAGGTGCACTTGGAACTGAGCCCCCAGGGATGGGTCCCTCAGCAGCTCTGACCCCTGTGGAAGGGCAGGCAGGACAGGTGACACATGTGGGTGGGCCACCACCAGCCTCAGCCGACCTGCATCTTAACCCAGGCTCCCAGCTCCCTACCTATGAGCTCAGGGTACTGCTAACTGACCTCAGGATCCCAGGTGTCTCATCAGTAAGATGGAGAGAAAGACTTCCATGGGTGTCGGGAGACGTAGGGACAATGCAGCTGGCGCCAGGCGGGCATCCAGTCACGACACTGGCCACTACCAAGACCGGCACCATCTGGGCAGGAGCCAGCCTGCAACCTACCACCTGGCCGTCCTCAGTCCCCAGAAGACGTCAAATGACCGAGGGAGCATGGTTTGATTACTGAATTTCAGCATGTTAGAGGTGGGGGTGACCCCCAGAGCTTGAAAATAATAGCTTTCAAATGACTTAGAGGGAAAGGACCTACTGTACAGCACGGGGAACTACACTCAATTCCTTGTAATAACATACAATGTAAAAGAATCTGAAAAAATAGAGGGGGGGAGCGTACAGCTCAGTGGTAGAGCATGTGCTTAGCAGGCACGAGGTCCTGGGTTCAATTCCCAGCACCTCCATTAAGTAAGTAAATAAGTAAATCTAATCATCTCTCCCCTCCAAAATAAAAATAATAATAAATTTTTAAAACTTTTTTTAAGAATCTGAAAAAATATATACGTGTATGTATAAATGAATCACTTTGTCGTACACCTGAAACTAACATTGTAAATCAACTATACTTCGATAAAAAACAAAATTAAAGAAAAGAAATTTAAAAAAAAAGATCCACACCCTCTGTGCCAGGCCCAGCCTGGGTGTCTGGAGTCTGTGAATAAAACTGCACCAAATGTGGGGAAAACAGAAGTCTCAGCGGGGACATTTTCCATTTGCAGGGTTTGCAGGTAGAAACCGAAGCGGGTTCACCCTGGACTTGAGGCAGCTTGTCCAAAAGTCGGGACCACCTAGGGGTGGCAGCCCCACTGGCTGCCAGGGCTGTACCTGCTAAGATGCCCATGGATCGAAGGGACACTGGGGGAGAGGCCAGGCTTGAGTGTCCCCGGGTGAAGGGGTTGTGGGGTGTGCTCCCTGGGGGGCAGGGGAGGTGAGAACATGCTGCACTCCTCCCTGCTCCAGGGCCCTGAGCCCCAAACATGACCCCGGCCTCAGGGTTATACCGAGTTCAGCCCACCCAATAAGCTGGCCCACTGATGTTTCGCGCAGCGCCAGGCGTGCGACACTGTGTCCGCTCCCTGGGTCAACACCGCCCACGAGCCTGCTCCCCACGCGGGCACCCACCATGTTGAGGTTGGTGAGGACGTAGCGCTCCGTGTCCTCCCCGTGAACCGCGTGGACGTCGGGGCCCACGGCCACCAGCAGCTCCAGGTACAGGACACTCCGAGCAGCCCGTCTCCAGAGGCGAGGGGCCGGAGGGCAGCCTGGCGAGGAAGGAGGCAGGGCCGAGAGCGAGGGTCCTAGCAAGCAGGTGGAACATGGCCAAGGCCACCCGGTCAGCTGCCCTCCCGACCCCACAGCCCCCACCACCAGGCCTCTCCTGGCCACACGCAGGGCTGGCCCACCTCACCGAGCCCTGGGCTCAGACACACAGCGTTGGGAGCCCCGTGTGGGCCGCTTCCCGTAGGGAGGAGGGAGTCGTGGGCCCGCCCCTCCGCCTCCTCTGGGACAGCGCCTGCCTCCCGGCACCCGGAGACAGGCAGCAGCTCCGCCCGCCCCCCGGAGCTGGTGTCTCGGCGCCCACGGACTTGCCCCCTCAGCCACCCACGAGCTGAGCTAGGACATCCTGGCCTCCCGACCCCTCAGGAGTAAATTCTAACAGGGGATGAGGGCCCCAGGCTCTCGCATATCACTGGTGTTGTGACTGTCAGAGCTGACGGCCGGCTGGCTCATGGGAGAGAGGCGGCTGGGTGTTGGGAGGACGGCCTTCTAGGTGAAGACACTTCATTTCACTGCATGGGCCGAGATCCCACTGCTGACTGGGCATTTCAGGGCAGTGCAAGGCCCAGGGGGGAGCTGGCGTGTGCCCTCATGTCCTTCTGGTCACCCCAGAGCCCCACCTGGGCACACACTGGAGAACAGGGTCACCCCAAGATGGCAAGAAAAGCCCAGGACACCCCCCTGCAAGGCACCTGGACGCAGCTAGGGAAGTGCATGCGCGGGCCTGGGGGGCGGCAGAGCTGTGCCCTGGAGGCGTCGTGTGGGCCTGCAGCGGCCACTTCCCGTCTCTGGGCCTCAGGGCTCCCATCTGCAGCACTGGGACTGTCAGTAACGCTGACCTAGGCCCCGAGGCTCCAGGGCGCACATCTGTGAAGTGCTCTGTAAACTGTGACAGGCTGTTCAGAGGTGGGAGGTCTACCTGTCCACCACACAGACGGTCTGGGGCACGGCTGGTGGCCCCGCGAGCCGGCACTCCCCTGCATGCTAAAGAAGGTGGCTTGTGGAGTTGGGGGGCATTTTGCGCAGCCCCCAGGCATCAGGAGAGCTGGTGCCCCTGGGCCCCTTGAGGCTGTCCCTGCCAGCAGCTCCGCCTTCCCTCTCCCAGGAGCTGTACCTGGAACCACAAGGGCCGGGTGCACCGTGGGGTTGGACCTGTGGATCAGGTGGGGCTGAGCACCGCCCCAGGGTGGCACCAGCTCCCGGTGCTGCCTCTTCAATGGCTGGATGTAGAGCCTGTCTCCACCCACCACGATGTCACCCTCCTGGAGAGGAGAGAGCAGCCTGGTGCACACAGCCCCCTCCCCGCCCGCTACAGGGGAGCCTCTCTGGGCCATCCCAGCACCGGGCATGGACTGGCCCTGAGCCCTCTCCAAGTCCAGGGTCGAGGAGCCCATCTGTGGGGGACGACGTGGGACCCAAGCCCTCTTGGGCGGTGCTCACTGCCTGTCCCCTGCTGCCAGCCCCCACTGCCACATTCCCACTTCCCGGCATGCACACGGCCTCCAGGCCGCCGTCTGCAGGGCCTGGTGAAGACCCCGGCAGGCCCCACAGGTGCAGGAAAGGAGGGGTCTTGAGGGACTGGCTAGGCCTGTGCCAAAGAACAGCAGATGGACCCTGAATGGCATCTGTCTTGACCCAGGGCTCAGGGTACGGGGGTGTGTAATGACATAAATGGCTCTGGCTCACTGAGTGACCCCCCGTGACAATGTGTGACACCAGTCCTCACAGCTACCCACGAGGCAGGTGCTGTCTTCCCCATCTCTTGGTGCCGACGCTGAGGTCCAGTGGAGTGATGGGCCAAGGTCCTTGTCCCCAGCTCAGCCACCTGCTAGCTAGGGGCCTGGGAAGACTCAGCTGGCTTTTCTGGGCCTCCCTGGAACAGGCCCCCGAGGGGTCTGACGGCAGGCTAAGAGCTACGTGGTGCTGCTCTCTCATGCGGCTGTGCAGGTGGGGGCTGGGGGGGCATGTATGCACCACGGGGTCCCACCAGCCACATCCTCTCCCCGATGCCGGCCGGGGCGCCCACTCACCACACGGCCCGAGCAGTAGGTGAGCCTGGCTGCTGCGCCCAAGGGCAGCAAGGTGCGGCCTCCCGTGAAGCAGGGGTGGGGGGGCCCCCTGAGCAGCCGGAGGGAGGCGTTCACCACACGCTCGCTGGTGAAGGAGGCAGCGAGGAGGCCCATCCGGGGCCGGAAGGAGAAGGAGAAGAGCTGTCCCAGGGCTGGCAGGGAGCAGCGTGGGGGCCCGCAGGGTGCTCCTCCCTGCCTGTCCCCATCCTCTTCTTCACAGACACAGGTGAGCGGGGCCACGTCGAACTGGGGCACTGCGGGAGACAGGAAACCCCTCACTCACCGGTCAGCCGTCCGGGCCCTCGTGCTCTGGGGAGGGGCCCAGAGTTCTTCCCTTTGGAGAGAATCAGTGGGGAGGCACGCTGGCCTGGAGCCCTGGAGCCCTGGAGCCCAGGAGCCCAGGAGCCCAGGAGCCCAGGTTCACATCCCGCTTCTCCAGCTCAGGCAAGGGGCAGCTCGATGCTGCGGGGCCAGGCCAGCCTTGGAACATATGTCTCATGAGTGAAGCCCTGAGGCCCGGCAGGGGAAGCGGAGCAAGCATGGCCTCAGTGGAAAACGGAGCCCAGGACCAGCCCCACCGTCCTGGTCCACCGTCTCCTCACCCCAGTGCAGCCTCCAGCGGCCATGGGGGCCCTAGGCTGTGGTCTCCTGACCCTCCAGGGAGCTGCAGTATGAGACACTCAAGCTCCCGGCCCCCACACCACAGTTAACCGCCTCCCACCCCGGCCCTCCGGCACGGCCCCGGGCACTGGCCAGGGCTGTACCCGACCCAGGCCACAGAGAAGTCAGTCACAACTGGACATCGCTATTTTGCCCCACCCTGACCACTAGCCCACTCTGCCCCTGGTGCCCACCAGCTTTTGGATCAAAGTCACCAACAGCCCTACTTGGAAAGGGGGCCAGCACCCCGAGAAGTCCACGGACACAGCCCACGAGCAACGAGTGCAGAAAGGCTGTGTGTGGCTGGAGCTTGACCCAGCGCGCGAGTTGCCGTCACAGAAGGGATAAATGTTTACATCCACGGCCAGCGACCGCAAGAGCTGCTGACAATCAGTCAGCCCGGGGGGCCCAGGTGTGGAAGGGCCGGCTAATTAGCGGCCATCTCCAGACGCTGAGCAGAACCCTGGGGTCAGAACCCGCGCTCGGCCCAGAACACGCAGACCCGTTTTTATCGACTTGGCAGGAAGTAGTGGAGTTAATTAACAGGGGTGACCGCAGGGGCTCTGACCGCCTCCCAGCCCAGCCACCACAAAGCCGAGACCCCTGACTCAACGGCACCCCCGCAGGCCCCGAGAAACTCCCCAGGCTACGAAGACTCCAGGACTAGTACCTTCGGAGGTAGCGGCAGGGCCAAAGTAAGCCATCACCTCCTCTGGCTCCAAAGCCTGAAGAAATCGCTGTGGAACAGAGAGGATGAATGAGGGGAGGGAGGTGGGAGGGGGCTAGGCACGGGGCAGGCATAGAGGGGAGAGGCAGAGAGAAGGGGCCGCAGGATGGAGAGGCGGATGAGAGCCACTCACCCTGGCATGGACAGCGTGTGCCCTTCACCAGCCGGACAGACGGTACCGAGAGGCCAACTTCTTCTCCAGGGAGCACACTTCGTCCCCTGAACCTCAAGTTCCGATTCCTCCCACTCTGCCCCCTCTCTCTAGGGGATCTGCCCTCGGCACCCAGTAGAGCTGTGACTAATTCCCAGTGCTCAGGCTCCCCCGGCACCACCGCTCCTCCAGGACCACCCACCTGCTGGAAATCGGAGAGGCCCCAGCAGCCCAGGAGGAAGAGCACAGAAGTGAGAATTCCCCGCGCGCATCTCCCCAGGAGGCGAAGCTCACGCGCCCTCATCCTCGGGAAAGCCTGCCGGCCCTCCTGCTGGCCCAGGGAGGGAGAGCTGTGGTGACTGAAGTCCAGGCGGTGTGGAATGTGACAGACCCCGCTGGGCTGGAGGATTAGCCTGTGTTTACTCTTAGGAGCTTCTTCCCAGGGCTGGGGCCGGGGGTGGGGGTGGGGGGCTGGGCTGCCTGCCGGCTCCGCCCTTGCTGGCTGGGCCGGGCCTGACCGGCCCTGCACCTGGGACCGTGGCTGGGGGGATGGATTCAGTCCTGCGTCCTCCGTGGCTCCCCTTGTCTGAGGCACCTGCATACCTGCTCTCTGCAGACAGCCCTGCCTACCATGACCTGTCCCCACTCTCCTGTCCTCGTTCCCTTCCTCAGCTACTGCCTGGTCTGTGCCTGCTGCCGACGGCCACCCACAGAGCCAGGCTGGTGGCCCCAGGCTACACTCAACATGCAGTCCACTCCACTTTCTGGAAGGTTCTCTGGCACACTCTCTGGACTCTCTGAAGCACTACCGACACTCCCTCCCATCTCCAGGACGCCTCCTCCAACTTAGCTGATGGCTGACAGAGGGTCACCCCTGGTCTCCTGCCTGCCCCGCCACCCCCCATCCTCTGCTACCAGGAAGGACACACCCACCCATCCAGCTGCGCTGGTCTACTTTCCTGTCAGGCCTGTCTGTGGTTTGAGTCCCAGCCCTGCCTGCATGTCCCCTTTATCCTGCCCCGATTAATGTTGCGCATTCCTAACTCTGTCTCTGTGGCTGCTTCCCAGAGACCCAAACTGGCACACTGCCTGCATCCTGGTGGCCTCGTCGCTGGCCTGGGCATCTGGACTGGGCCCCTAACTCCCTGCTCGCTCTCTCACTCCCCCTTCCCATCCCATCTGAGAACTCCCCAGCCTCAAAACAATCGATAGCTCCCCCTTTCTCCTTAGAATAAAATGTCCTGAAAAAGGACACTATGAACTCATCTACAAAACAGAAACAAACTTGCAGACATAGTAAACAATCTTATGGTTACTGGGGAAAGGGAGTGGGAAGGAATAAATTTGGGAGTGAGATTTACAAATGTTAGCCACTATACATAAAAATACATTTTTTAAAAAGTTTCTGCTGTATAGCACAGGGAACTGTGTTCAATATCTTGTAACAACCTTTAATGAAAAAGAATATGAAAATGAACATACGTATGTATATGCAGAACTGGGACATTGTGTTGTACACCAGAGATTGACACAGCGTAACTCATGGTAGTTCAATAAAAAAATAAAATGAAAAAATTGAAACATTAAAAAAAAGAAAGTCTTGAACCTCTGAGGCTCTGTCATCCATGGTCCAGCCCCGGTCCAGCCCCAGTCCGACTCGGCCCGGCCCGGACCACTGCCTGCATCTCCTGCCCTCCCCTCGGTGCTCACAGACCTTGACCCCTACCAGGCGGCTTTCTGTCCCTCAAACACATCCACTGCTTTGCTATTCCCTCTGCCTGTGGTTCACATTCAAGTTTCACTTCAAATGTCACCTCCCTCGTGGTATCATCTAAGTGTACCTGGCGGGCCACACTTAGGAAACAGAAATCGGGACAGCAGTGAAATTTTAATTTTGCAATAAACAATGGATAAATTTTTTCCTTTGGTGTTTTAAGTATAACCCAAACATTGCAGCTACTATATGGGGCATACTTATAGTAATAATTACTCTTTATCTGAAAGTCCCGTTTCTCTGGGCGTCCCGCATTTTGTTTGGCAGCCTTGCGCCTCCTCAGTGTCCACCACGGCGTCTCATTTATCATCTTCGTAGTAGTTACTGCTATCCAGACTATGACCTGTATTTCCCTGAAAGCCCCACTCACTCATGGAGGCTGGAGCGGGCGCCTCGCGGGTGGTGTTTATCAGGGTACCGGCAGGGCCAGGCCCGCGGGCCAGCCGTTCATTGCTGTTGCCGCAAAATGAAACCTTGCACGGCGCTGTCACAGTCCTCTCCTGCTGTTACTGGATGTCGTTGAAGCGCCTTTGCAGCCCGATAGCTCTGTGCACCCTGGTTCCTCCTTCGCGCCCCCGGGCCTCCGTTCCCCGCTGCCTGGGGAAGGCGGGCCCCCAGAGCCGGGGAGGCTGGGCCGGGGCGCCCGAGACCCGCGCGCCCTCCGGGCCACGCCGATCGCGCCCGGCCCGGCGGCCCGGCGCCCCCTTGCGGCCGTCCGCGCCCTGCGCTCCGCCGGCACGGCCGCGGTGCTACAGCGACGGCGGCCCCCCGTGCCCTTCCGGCGCTCGCGTCTCGGCACCATCTCCGCTCTTGGCGAGATCCCGGGATCCCCCTAGTCCGACCCTAGGTCGCCGACCGCGGAGGCCGCTCGACGAGGTGGCCGCCCCTTTCCTCTGGGGGCGAAGAGCTCCGCCCTCCTTCCGCTCGTCCGGAACCAGATGCGAAGGCGAGGTTTCCAGCCGGTCGGGGAAAGAAGAGCACTTCCGGGGATCGGGGCGCACGTGCCGAGGCGCGCGCGGGGTCGCTTCCGGGGTCCCGGGCGCGGGTGTCCCCCCAGCGGGCGAGTCGAGGGCTGGCTGGGGCCTGTGCTCGGCGGGCAGAGCCCAGCTCCGGGGCCGCGGCGAGGCGCCGTGAACGGGCCCAGGGACCAGGGACGAGGCCGGGATGGCGAAGGCGACGCCGCTGACCCCCAGGCGCGCCGCGGTCGACCCCGCGCCTGGGCCGGGGCTCGTCAAGAAGCCGACTCGGAAGAAGAAGAGGAAGAAGAAAAGATTCTGGAAGAACAAAGCGCGAGAAGTAGGCGAGAAGCCGGGAAACGACGCCGGAGGCGTCGCGGTGCGGCCTCCAAAGGCACCGGAAGACTTTTCCCAAAACTGGAAGGCGCTGCAGGAGGTAAGAGCGAGGGGGCCCGCGGACCGCGCCGCTCTTTCCCCGGTCACCGCAGTGGAAGAGGGAGCAGGGCTTGCGGGACCCCAGAAGGGCGCTGTGGAGGCGCATTGGAGTGGAGGCTGTGCGGACAGCGCCGTTCACAGGAGAAGTGGCCTCTGGGGCAGGCAGCGAGCTCCTGGGCGAGTGGGTGGCAGAAGTTGATGTCGAGGATTCTCTCAGTGCTCTGGGTCTTTAAACACATGATGGTTGATCACTCCTGCGCCCAGATGCTGACCTTAAGGTGTGCAGACACGGCGGGATGTGTGTTCTTCTTTAACCCGATACCAACACTGTGAGACAGAGTCCTTTATCATCCCCATTTTACAAAAGAGGAAATGGGCCCAGAAAGGTTAAGTAAATTATCCAGGGTTGCAGCCGGGTCGGCGGAACCAGGAGTCAGACGCCAAAATCCCTGCTGTCAATGCAGAGTTAAACTTACTGCCTTTCTTGACATCATTGGTCAGAACTCACTTATGGGTTACCGTGTGCTAGATGCTGTTCCACGTACTTCACTCACAAATTCTCTGCGCCTCCTTGGAGTTAGCTGCTGTTTTTCAGATGAGGAGATTGAAGCAGGGAGTTTGAGGAACCGTGTGACCACACAGCTAGTGAGTGGGCTGGGGGACAGGTTCCCATGGTTGGGCCTCAGTTTGTGCTCTTTGCTACCACCGACCTTCAGAGTGTCTTCTGCAAGTTCCTGGAGTCCGTTACGGAGCTTCAGAGGAAGCAAGAGAGAACAGAGAAGAGCTTTTGAACTTCTTAACCAGGCCCAGCATCTTAGTTAGGGCAGGAATCCAAATATTTCTCCTGGATGAGTGAATTTCTCTAGGGCACCCCCAGGGTTCTCTGATTTCTTAAACTGTAAGTCTGCCACTTTCAAGAATATAAAGCAAAATTAAGTGGAGCAGAGGAATGTTTACTGTGACAAAAACCTTGAGTTTTCTCTCGTTCATACAAGAAAGGCAATATTTATGTTCTTTAAATGTTATGGGAACAGGAAAGTGGAAACCCACCTCATCATCTCAGCTACGTGCGTGGCAGGGTCTTAACCATGTAGAGAGCATCCAGGTTGAGGACTCGCACACCAGAGGAGATGGGGCTGGAAGGCCTCAGCCCTCCGTGCGGAAGAGCAGGGGTGTGGCTGCCAGCCCTTCAGCCACCTGTCACTGGACACACCCCTCTCTTCCTGAGACCCTCACGGCAGTAGCAAACCATGAAATCTGATAAAGGAAGTGATTTCTGTGCCCCAGCCTTTTGGCCAAAGGTGGGAGGGAGTTAACTGTAAAATAACGATAAATGTGAGAACAGGTTGCTTTTACGCACATACCCAGACGTGTTTTCAGTCTCTTGTGCGTGATTTCCAAATGAAAATGTGTCACGTATCTTATCTTGGGTTCCATTAGCTGCTGAAGCAAAAATCACAGACCCGGAAAGAGCCTCTTGCTCTCTGTCAGATGGATTCCAAAAAGCAGCCCCGAAGTGTCCAGCAGAACAGGAAATCAATCCCAGATAAAGCAAAGAGGGCTGAGATGGGGGCAGAAGACACAGACCAGGAGGCCACAGGGGGCTCTGTTCCCCCAGGATCACCACCGAACAGGAAGATGCCTGCACTTCACACACAGCGCAGCGGGCAGGCACGGCACAGTGAGAAAGGAGCCAAGAAGAGGACCAATGGGAACATTTCTCCGAAGCGAGGAGACATCAAGCATAAGAAGCGGAAAGCTAAGGAGGCGACCGCCACCTCGGCCCCAGCCCCACCCACCGAGTAAGTGCCCACGGCCTCCGCCAGCCTGGGCTGCAGTCTGCCACAGTCGTCCTTGCCAAGAGGGAGGTTACGGCCAAAGCCAGGAAGACTCTGGTCTGAAACCTATTCCTGTGTCTTGCTCACTGGGTGGTTGGGGGCAAGCTCCTACATGCCCTGAGCCTCTGCATTGTCCTGTGTGTTGGGTCTGTGAGGTGTAGCGGGCTGACCTGTGCCTGCTGGTTACTCAGCAAACACTGGGATGTCACTGACGTGGTGGGGGGGACCAGAGGTCAGTGGTTCCTCCGAATGGCTCAGCTGGAGGTGTAAGTTGGGCTGGCTGCCTGTTGCCTGGGTGTTGAGGTCACAGTGGGCACAGGTTTTAGGAGACAGGGGTTTCAGTGCCTGCCCTGTGTCATGTGCCAGGCCCATTGTCTGGAAATAGAGTGGCCCTGATGGGTCGCTCCCTCCTGGGGGGCAGCCAAGCAGAGGAGATGGACGAGACACTGAGATTATTTCAGCAATTCGCTCAGTGTGGTCGGGATAAATCCAGCGAGGGAGAAGCTTATGGGAGCAGAGGGCCAGGGGAGCGTGTCTGTTCAGGGAGCCATCCCTAAGGAGATGACGTGGAAGCTGAGTTCAAAAGACACACTCAGCGGGCAGAAGTGTGCGCTCCTGCCCGGGCGTCCGTGTCTGCAGGGCGTGGCACCAAGTGGGCGGGGGGTGGGGAGGAGTCTGTGTCATGTTGGACAGTCGTGTTTGAGTCTCTTGAATGTTTGATTACAATAGAATTTGTGTTGTAATTAGAAAGGAAACATTAGAAGCTGTTACACCTGGGTGGGGGTCTCTATTTCTGTTTTGTGTTCTGTGTGTTACTCTGTAGCTCTGAATTTTGGATACTGAGTGTTTTTAGTTAAAAAGAAGCGTGAGGGGAGAAAGTGCCGAGATGGTCACAGCGGTGGGCCGGCACCTGGGGCCTGACTGCAGGAGCAGCGGCCGCCGCCGGCGCGTCCAGCCTGCTCGCTCTGCCTTTCAGGGAAGACATCTGGTTTGACGATGTGGATCCGGAGGATATTGAAGCGGCCATCGGCCCCGAGGCAGCCGACATAGCGAGGAAACAGCTGGGTCAGAGCGAGAGCAGCACCACGCTGGTGAAGGAGCGGGCCTTCAGGGGGTACGCGGGGCGCACTCGGCCTTGGAGGGCGGGGGTTTTCCGGGAAGGAGCCGTCCCTCCCCTCCGGTGGGTCGGGCGGGCACCTCTCAGTGTCCTGCTGGGACCCATGTCTGCACAGGGCTTGTCACGGTGGGGGGCGGCGGTTCCCTGGTCCCCCTGCTGCATGCATTAAATCGGAGCCTTGGTTCCCTCAGCCTGACCAAAGCCTTAGCCCTGGACTGTGAGATGGTGGGTGTGGGCCCCCAGGGGGACGAGAGCATCGCCGCCCGCGTGTCCCTGGTGAACCAGTACGGGAAGTGTGTTTATGACAAGTTCGTGAAGCCGACCCAGCTGGTGACTGACTACAGGACGGCGGTCAGCGGGATCCGGCCCGAGGACCTCGCGCAGGGTGGGTGGTGCTCAGAGGCGAGAGTGGCAGTGGCACGCTCGTGTTCCTCCACCTGTTCCCTTCTGCGGGTGCTTCCTAGCTAGCTAGCGGGGGTGCGGTGGGGGCCAAGCTCTCGGGTCTTCGTTGCTGCCTCCTGGCTGCCAGCCTCCAGACCAGGACGCTGTTCTAAGGCACTCTGTGACTTGGCGGCAGGACAGAGAGAGAGAGGGCAGGAGGCCGGTGGAGGGTGTGGCTGGGGAGGTGTGCAGACTGTGGGGTCTGGCAGACCGCGAGGACTCTGGGGGGCCCGTGGGCAGTGAGAGGCGAGGTCCGGCCCAGGTCCCTGCAGGTTCTTTGCAGGACTGGGGATGGGGCGGACGAGTGTGAGCTGGAGGTGACCGTTAAAGGTGACAAGTTGTGGCCCAGCTCTGGACACACCCCAGAGGCTGAGTCTGTTGGGTTTGCCAAGGGACTGGCTGTGCTGGCGGGAGCGAAGGCCCGAAGACTTGGGGGGAGGTCCTGGATGCAGGCGCCCGTGGCCACTGCCCTGCTTTCTCAGGCCATGTGGTCTCTGCTCTCCGCACCTCTCAGCTTCTCCCACTCAACGGCCCCAGGGCCCATGCGCATCTCCAGCCAGTCTTTCTTGGCTTAGAGCGGACAGAATCACAGGGCACAAGCTCGGTTCCCACAGCCCCTCCCTTTGGGAGGAGGGGAAGGGGAGCCCCCAGAGGGTCTGCTCGGAGAAAGCAGGCAGGCCTCCTCTGGAGCCCGGGGTCTGGAGTGGGGCTTCTCACCATCTGTGGTGAGGGGACCCCCGCCCTTTGTTCTTATCTCCAGTTGCAAAGACATCAGACACAGGCCCTGGTTTCTATTAGATTCAGCAGTCAGGGTCACTCCGCCAGGTGGCAGTGGGTGTGCGCCCCTCCCTTCTCCCTGGGGAAGAGGGGGGCAGTTGAGACAGCCCCTGGGCAACCGCCCAGAATCTCTAACTGCCGGCCCTCTGAGTCCTGACCTAGGGTGGCGGCCTCTCCTTCTCAGAAACAGTGATTTACGTGTTGATAAAAATTACTTCCTTGTTTTGATTCCAGGAGAAGAATTTGAAGTTGTCCAGAAGGAAGTGGCAGACTTGCTGAAGGGCCGGATTCTGGTCGGACACGCGCTGCACAATGATCTGAAGGTACTGGCTCGGCCGCGCTGGCCTTCTGTGGAGCGCAGCGTCTAAGGCAGTCATGCTTGGTTCGTGCACTGAGTGACGTGCCCACGTGTCAGCTTGGTGGGCCAGCTCCCCGCCTACCACCCCGCACACCCGCTGGACGGGCTGCAGCTCCTCTCAGGGCAGAGCTTCCCTGGTGACCATTCCTTCGAAGCCACCAGGCAGCCCCCGCCTCACAGGCTGGCCCGCCATGGCCAGCTCAGAGGGCGGCAGGCAAGCTCAGAAGGCCCCCTTCCCGAGGCCCAGAGGGCGCGGCCTCAGCCTCTGCCCTGCAGGGTCCTGCTGTGGGCAAAGCTGACCCTCCGGTTCGGGCGGGAAGCTCAGGGCAGGCGGGGTGGGAGCCTGTCCTCCCTGGGCCTGGAGTTTTTCTGCGTCCTCTGGGACCCTGGAGTCCTCCCACATCTCAGGGACTGGGAAGTGTTGGTTTTACGTGCCTTTTAAAAGTAAGTTTTTAACCGTTAAAAACTAACGCGTCCTCTGCTCACAGAAGCGCGCTTTATCGTGGTGATTCTCATCCCAGGGGCCCGGTGCCCTGCTCCCTCCTCGCGCCCTCTCCGACCCTGGTAACTTGGGTGGACTCAGACCTCCCCCGAGGCCTGTCGTTTGCTGAGCTGTTAAAACCGGCTCTGTTCCCGCCTCGCTGTGTGTGTGACACCAACTGAAAACAGGCAACAAGTTGGCTGCTGGTTCCTCAGCTCCAGCTTTCCGGCCTCAAGGCCATTTCAGCCCCGTGGTTTGTGGTTCGAGGGCCGCCTCCCCGGGGTGGTTTTCTCCCAGACGTTCAGGCTGTCGTCAGCACCTCATTTCATCTGTGCGGGAACGTGTGTCTTTGCTGGAACTGGGGGGTTCCCTCACAGCAGGTGAACAGTGAGGCCCCCGTCGTGTTTTCTCCCTCCAGGCGCTGTTCCTGGGTCACCCAAAGAAGAAGATCCGGGACACTCAGAAGTACAAGCCTTTCAGGAGCCGAGTGAAGGTGCTCGGAGCCAGCGTGGCCCTGCGCGGGGGGGTGGTGTCGCGGTGCGCACGGTCCTCTGTTCTGGTCCCTGGAGGCTGGCTGGCTTGTTAAGGGGGTTTTGGCTTGGTTTGGTTTTTCCTTTTAACCTTTAAAACTGAAAGGCATCTTAAAAAGGAGAGTTCTGCTACATGCCAACCTCAAAGTTCATGTCCCTGAGGGCCGGTGAGTCCACTCTGACCTGTGACAAGAGCCCCGACTGCGGGGAAGAAGCCGCCATGTGGCCTGTTCCAGCGGCAGAGCTGCCCCTGGAAGGCTGAGATGCAGGGTCCTTCCTGGTCCCCTCCACTGGCTGACCTGGGTGTCACCAGCCCCCAGGGCCACTGGCACTTTCATTGGAAGGCACACTGAAGGTCGCTGGGGTTGGGGGTCAGCAGGCGAACCCCTGCCCGGTGCAGCCCCCCACCCGCCCCAGGGCCACCGTGTGCTGCCCTCTCCCCTGACAGAGTGGACGGCCGTCTCTGAAGCTGCTTGCAGAGAAGATCCTGGGGATCCGGGTGCAGCAGGCTGAGCACTGTTCGGTGAGTGTGTCCCGCCTGACAGTCCCCGGAAGTGGGGGCCTTGCCCGGCCTCGGAGGCAGGTGCCTGTCACCTGACACACACACCTCGGGGCTCAGGCGCCTTTTAGGAGGCTGCTGGCTGTGAGAAATGGCATGGCGCCACGGGCCTGCACGGTGCTGATTAAGTTCTAAATGGTTACGTTTAACTGATTCACACTCACCATGAAAAAACAGCTGGTGTACTGTCATCGAAGAAGAAGTCCCGGGTCTGGGCTGGAGGCCCTCTAGGACTGCGGGATAGGCTGGCGGCCCGTGGAGCCCCACCGCCCGCGGCTCCAGCCCCCTAGGCTCTGTGCGCCCAGCGCCAGGCTCTGAGCCCGCCACGCCTCCCCTCTGGTCCTCATTCCATGGGGTCCGGTGCGCCTCTCTGGGCAGCACGTTTGTCCCTTCCTTTCTTTGGGTTCCTTCCTTCCATGAGTGGGGGCGCTGGGGGTGCAGAAGTACAGTGAGACCACATCACTTTTCTCCTTCATCCGCCCTGTGTGGCTGTGCCTGTCCCCGGTGGAACAGTCACGATGACCCTCCGTGTCCCCCAGGTTCAGGACGCACAGGCAGCGATGAGGCTGTATGTCTCGGTGAGGAAGGAGTGGGAGAGCGTAGCCCGGGACAGCCGGTCCCCGGCCTCCAGCCCAGCCCTGGACAGCCTGCAGCAGCTGTGACCGAGTCCCCCCAAGAGGTTTCAGAATCATGGCGGAGGGGCACACACGCGCATGTGCTGCTGAGCAGGACTTCTCTGGTTTTGTGACCTAAGACTCGTCACCATACACAGGGCGGGAGTAGGGGCTGTGCCACGCCGACCATCCCCTGGGACGCACCAGGTCCCGGGGCTGAAAGCACCCAGTTGTCCGCCGGGTCTTCCGTGTGGTCCCCCGAGACCCCCTTGGGCGATGGGAAGAACTCTGCGGACTCTGGCCTGGACCCAGGGGCTGTGGGCAGCCAGCTGCAGCCTCATGGAGGAATTTCTGTGGTCACCCGTGGACTGAGGGAGACTCTGTGAAGGTGAGGTGGTCCTTTCTCACCCACTCCCTACACCCTAGCCAGGCTTGAACTCCGGGTCCGAGCCCACAGCTGGTGAGGTGAGCTCAGGGTGTCCCGCGCGGGGACAGCAGTGACACCCGGAGGCAGGCACCTCCCTCGTCTGAGACAGAGCTGTTGACCATGGACGGCCTGCGGCTGTTCCCCAGCCCTGGGGTGAGAGTCTCCGAGAACCAAGGTCAGGGCACTGCGTGGAGGGCGTGACACCCCAGGCCACACTGAGCCACCTGCCGGCTGTACAGAAACTCCAGACCCCTAAGGACATTGTGTGACATAAACGCAGGTTTTATTGGAGCTGGAGCTGGTGGAGGCTCTGTGTCTGGCTACTGCCACCTGTCCCAGCTGGGCGGCCCCACCCTGGGAATGGCCCAGGCCCCTTGTCACAAAGGGTGAAGTGCACGTGCTGGTCCTGGGTGGCGGTTCTTCCTCCCCCCCACCCCGCGTAACCCCGGAGGGGATGCCCAGTCCGGCAGCTCCCAGAGGAACAGGCCAGGGAAGGGGAGGGGGGGCCCGGGAGGCACCTACTGCCCGCCCTCGGAGCAGCGCTGCGAAGCCTCCAGTCTGCGGAGCACACGCCCTGCGTCAGAAACCAGCTCCTGGAAGGGGAGGGCGGTTGGTGGTTTCCCCGCTCAGCCTCGGGGTCCACGAGCGGCTGTTCCTGTAACTTGGTCCACTTTTCTTGGAAGAGGTCTCGCTGCTGCCCCTTCAGGGTTGACTTGGGCCCAGTCGTGGACGTGGGGCAACAGGCTGGCTGAGCCACTTGAAACCACACAGGCAATGCTCCCAGTCACCTGCCCGCAGACCTCTGGTTCTGGGCCCCTGGCCGCAGGGCCCACCGGCACTCACCAGGCTGGAGGTGAAGCGCCCATGGATCTCCTCGACCAGGGGCTGGGTGCCGCTGGACAACAACTCTGGCAGGATGTCGTCTGCGGGCAGAGCAGAGGGTCCTGGGGCCAGCCCGACACTCTCCCCGGTCCCCAGCGGGGCAGTTCTGAGGCGGCCAGCAAGACCAGGCTTGGCCCCCAGCCCCCAGCCCCCTGAGTTTTAGCCTGAACTGTGGGGACCCGGGAACCGGGTATCACCCGCGCCAGCACAGAGGGTTCCTTCCCTTCTGCTGTCAGTTAAACTGGCGAGCAGGGCGCCTCTTTGACCCCGGCCTCGGGGAGGGGGTGACAAGGGAAGGGGGTCCTCACCATAGGAGGCGAGCTGGGCCAGCAGCACGCAGATGCTCTCCACCACCTCCGGGTCATCCCTGTGGAGCTGGTACGTCTCCTGGAGCAGGGTGAGGCCGCTGCTGTCCTCCTTGGGCATCACCACCTGCAGGGCCGCCAGCTCTGGCGGGGGAGGGGGTTCATTCCCTGCGCGGCCCCCGCCTTGGTCCTCCAGAGGGGCTGACAGCGGTACTGAGTTGGTGGGTTGAGAGCCCCGAGAGCCCGGGGCAGCAAGAGCCTCAGCTGGCGGAGGACGCCCCGGAGTCCTGCAGCCTGGGCACTGCCGAGGTCAGGCGACTCCCCACTCCGCACCTGCGTGTCCTCTGGTGGGAACGTACACCCACCCCTCCACCCAGGCAGCCAGAGGGGGAGTGGGCTCATAGGGAGGGCCCCCCAGTGTAAGGAGGCCTGTCAGTGCGGGGCCAGCCTGGCTCCTGAGGGGCTGGGGTCTGTGAGCAGCGACGTGAGATGCCATGTGGGTCTTCACCAGGTCCTCCCGGAGCCCAGGGCACAGCTGGCAGCCACAAAGCCAAGGGTCTCACCCAGACTCGGGCTCTGGGGTTCTGACCGCCCTGCTCCTTGAGACCTGAGCCACGTCCTTTTTCCCCTTAGGGCCTCACCTCCCCCCTCCCTCCAGGATCCTAGCGGGGTCGGGGAGGGAGGTGTAGGCCTGGAACCCCAGTTGTCTCCATCTGAGAGGGAAGAGCACCCCGCTCCCTGCTTGAGACCAAGTAGAAAACAGGCCGGTCCAGCCTGTGCACCGAGTGGGGACCAGACCTCAGAGGGGTGGGAACTGCCCCCCTTGCAGCTGGCAGCCCAGCCAGGCTCCAGGCCCAAGTGTCTGAGGGGTTGCTGTGCGTGAGTCGGGCCCGGAGGCTGAGTACCAGCCAGAGTTGGTGTTGCGGAGGTGGGAGCTCACAGACTGCCCCGGGCACCTGCAGGGGAACGTGTGGGACGCTGTGTTCAAGGGCAGGGAAGGCGGGCAGTGTAGCTCGGGACAAAGTGTGATGTGCATGTGGAAAGTCTCCACGGCAGCTTCTGGGTGATGGGACTGTAGATGTGTTTTCCTTCTTTGATCTTTGCTTCTGTATTTGGGCTGCGGGCAGCCGGCAGACATTGCCAGTTGAATGTGCCCCCACCTCCCCCACCTCCTAGAGGCAGCTCAGCCCGGCCGCAGGCTCACCGGACACCTCGGCGAGGCTGGCCAGCCCGCGGTAGGCGTTGTTCACCAGCAGGACTTGGTCCTGGCACAGCCGGATGCTTCGCAGGAACAGCACCACCACCTCTTCAAACTGGTGCTCCTCTATGCAACCTGCGGAGGGGCCGGTGCGGGCCTCGTCTCGTGGGTCCAGGGTCCACCCCGCCAGCCCTGGGGCCCCGGGCTGCTCACCCAGCAAGGACAGCAGCCACAAGACTGCACAGCCGGCTTCGGCCATCTCCACGTCCGCGGGGTAGGTGGCCATCACCTCGGCAGTGAGGGCCGGGGCTTTCTCCAAGGGGGCCTTGTCCACGACGACGGCTGGAGCAGGACAGGAGGGAGAGGGGACACCTGCGCTCGGTGTGAGCAGAAGTGCCTGCTGTGCGCTTGGCCCCCCAGCAGAAGCTGTTGGTGGGGAGAGGGCAGATGTCCTCGGAGATGGGAAGAGGGGTGCGATTTCCAGGCTGCTAGAAGGCCTTCAGAGGGGGGGGGTCACCTGCCCCCCCCCGGGGGAGTCCTGGGGAATCTTGCATGTCGGGTGGGAGCCCTCTTTTCTTTGGGGAAATGACCACCCAGGTGCTGCAGGGCCACGTGGGGCCTGGAGAGGGAGCAGTATGGCCTGGGGGCCCCCCTTTTCTGAATCAGAAGCCAGGATGGGGGAGGGTATAGCTCAGTGGTAGAGCGCGTGCTAAGCATGTATGAGGTCCTGGGTCCAATCCCCAGCGCCTCCATTAAAACCAGGTAAATAAACAAACCTCATTACTTCCCCTCCCCCAAAAATTTTTTTTACAAATCATGACAGGATGCCCAGTGCTAAGGCCAACTTCTGAAACCAGAGACTGCCTGGGAAATCCCGTGGTGTGTGGGAGCTGGAGGGTTCCCTGAGCAGGGCACAAAGCGCCGGGGGGGCGAGCCTCCCACCCCCCACCTCCCAGGACAGCGCGTCCTGCCTCTGCTGGTGCAGCTTTTCGTATCCCCTCCCCCGCTCCTTCCTCTGCTTCCCCGCTCTCAGAAGAGCCCTTCGCGGGCCGTGGTCTGTCCTGAAGTGTTCAAGGGCCAGGACTCAGAGGCCCTTGAAGGGTCTCAGGTGACGGGGGAGCAGAGGGGGCAGTGCCAGCCCCAGTCCCTCTCACCATCCACCAGCAGGGCCCAGAGCAGGCTCATGCCGTTGATGCAGATGTCCCGGTTCCTGGAGAAAGTGTCCAGGTGCTCCAGGATGTGCTCAAACAGCCCAGCCTTCTGCAGCTCATCCGTGGCCGGTTCTGGGTCGGGGTGGGGGGCCTGGAGTGAGGACCACGGAGAAGCCCTCCCAGGGAGCCGCCTCCCTCTCCGCTGTCCCCGGCACTGCCGCGCCACGTGGCCCACGTTACCGGGTGCCTACTCTGGGCCAGCCTCATCCCAGCACGGGACCCAGAAACAAAAGAACACGGTCCGTCCGCAGGGCCGCCATTCCAGTATCTCCCCCTCATCACTGGGCTGGGACTGGTCTCTGTGGTTTTCCTTCCAGGGGGCCTGGCCCTGCCCCCTAGGGCCACACAGTAGGCCTGAGCCTCCAGAAAGGGACCACGACGGTGCTCTTCCCAGCGGAATGACCTGACACCCAACTTGCCAGATGCCCTCATTTACACCTGTTGTCCCAACATGGCTGTTGACAGCTGCCCTTTTCACTGCCCGGTGTGAGGTCAGCGAAGTACAGTAGACCATCCAGCTAGTGGAGTGGGGGCTGGGGGGCTCCAGGCCAGGGCCCTTTAGAGAAGATGCTGCCCCCCACCATTAGCGGTTGGAGGGTGTAAGCGTGTGTAAAGCCGTCGGTCGTGACCCCACTCCACTCCGTGCCCCGTCCCCCGCCTGCCGGCAGCTCTGTGAAACAGAGCCAAGTGGGGCGGGAGGAGGGGTAACGGGGGTTTGAACCTGAAACACGTCGTGAGGCCTACGGTGGGGCCTGGCACCTTGCTGGTGCCCTCGCACGTTTGTGGAGGGAACGAGTGACCGGGAAGGTGGAAGCTGGGAACAGACCACGAGGCAGTGCCGCTGAGCCATCCTGGCCCCTGTGTACCCCAGCACGCCCCGGGAGCGTGCAGACCCACCCTGGCTGGCGACGATGGCGAGCAGGCCATAGACCAGGACTAGGAGCTCCTGCTTCTCAGGGTGGCTCCGCATGACGCTCAGCAGGACGGGGGTGATGGCGCTGTCGCTTGGCACCACGGCTGCTGGGTCCTGCGCCAGCGCTGCTCAGGCAGACGGAGAGGCCAGTTAACCCTGAGCCCTGAGCCCTCGCTGGATGAGGGCAGCGCCCCACTTTGCATGGAGGAGGTGGAGGTCAGGGCGCAGAGCAGGTCCCTGTGAGTGCTTATTGAGTGACTGAGAGATCAAAGGGCTGGGGACCTGCTCGCCCGCGCGGCCAGTAGGCCCTGGAACATGCCAGAGTAGATGTTTATCACGTGCAGTGGAATGCATAAAGTGGAAGTTAAACCTAAATATTAAAGTTGGAAGGGAGATGAAATAGTTCCATTTTAAAACTCAAAGATAGCTCAACCCTTTTGAATGGCTCAAAGTCTCCGGGGGGTGCCTAGGCCCTCAGGCTCTCCCCCCCAGCCTCTCCCTCTGCGGCAACAAGCTCACGCCCGCCTGGGGGGGGTCACTCCGCAGGACCTCGTGTGTCCGGCTTCTCATTTCATGCCTGGAAACCAGCCAGAGGGGTGCAGAGGGGAGCTTGTCCAGGGCCACAAAGCAGGCCAAGACAGGCCGTGGGCAGCGCGCAAGTCTCTCGACTCCCGTTTGTGCCCTGGGGTGGGGTGGGGTGGGTTGGGCAGCGCAGGGCAGGCTGTTCAGAGGGTCAGATGCTGAGGCGACAATCGGAGGGGAGGGGGGAAGCCAGCTGTGCCCAGGAGGGTCTCCCTGGCCGGCCCAGCACCCACCGTGGCCCAGGGTGCGCAGCAGCAGGGAGCAGGCACACAGCTGGACGTCAGGGACCCTCTCGTGCTGCTTCATGATGCCGACCAGCATCTCCACCAGCTCCATTGGCCACGGCAGACCTGGGGGGTCGGGCGGCCACGTGAGACTCGGCACAGGAACGGGGTGCAGGGTGGGTGCAGGGACCAAACCAGGGAACCAGACTGTGCTGGGTGCCCACGGGGCATCACGCGTGCACCCCAGGGACGTGATCGGGCAGTGTGTGCCGAGCTCTTGTCACGCGTCTGCTGTGGGGATCTCGTTCCAGCGGCGCCACGAGGGAGAGCCTCCTGTCTGTGTTCC